GTCCATTTTTATATCTCCTTGTAATATTCTTAAGTATTTCAATAATCATGGAAAGTATCTAGATAGCTAGATATAGGTGATTTTTTTAACTAGAAATATCATGAAATTATTAGTCCTTCAATCATGTAATTATTCCCTTAATCACCTAGAACTTTCACATTTTATTCTTCACTTACGTTTCTGCCATCTGTCTTTATGATTTTTCCTCCTATGACACATTACATTATATTCATAATCTTTCATATCACCTTAGTAAATATTTTAAGACTTTTTGCTATTATTTTCTGTTCATTATAGATATGTATATTGGTTTACTTTTGACATGGTTGTTTGTTATTTCAAACTTCAGCAACTTTATGCTCTAGGCCAGATCCCTATTATGGTTTCACATTCATATATTCAACTCCCTCCTTTACAGCTAATTCCTTGGACATCTCACAAGCACCTCAAATGTGAACTTTTAAAAACTGAACTCATAATCTTGCCCACTTTCCCAATTCCATTTTAATTGCCAAACTAGAGCCTCATTCATTCTTTCTCATTTTGGAATATGACACCACCATCCACCCAGTAGTTCATGACAAAGTTTTGGGGGTATCTTTCATGGTAGTTTCTCCTTTATATCCCAGACCTAATGTGCCACCACATCCTGTGGGTTCTAGGTCTCAAACTCTCTTCACTTCCTCTCCTGTTCTTCATCTCTCCTGCCACTATTATAGTCCAAACCATTGTTAGGGCTCATCTGGAACATCAAAATAGATGACTAATTACTCTGCCTTGCTCAATTTCCTCAATTTTTGCTTCCTCCTCATCTATTCTCTTTAAAGAAGTCAAAGTGCTATATAATAAAAACACAAATACAATGATATCACCCCTATGCTTACCCATCAATGGCTTCCCTTTTCTCCTAGGGCAAAAAGAAAGACTCAAAATGATTCCCGGGGCCTTCCTGACCTATTGGGGACCCAGTTCTCCACGCTCACCTATGCCATTCTCCCGCTTTCTCTCTCTGCTTCAAGTACAATTGCCTACTTTATGTTTCTTGAAATGTCATGCTTCTTCCCATTTGAGGTATTTGCACACTCACTTTCCCCTGAGCACTTCTTATTCTACAGGTAACAGCACATACAGCTCCATCACTTCCTTCAGGTCTTTGCCAAGGTTCACCTTCTCAATGAGATTATCCTTGACTATGCCTTTGCACTCCCGATCCCCCATCCACGGTTCATCTTTAGAACTTATTACCATAAAACACAGTATACATCTTAATTACCTGTTGATATATTACCTGTCGCCCACCCCTAGCACATGAGCTCTTTAACGGTGTGATTTGTTTTATTTGATAACTGCCATATCCCTTATACTTAGAAAAGTGCTTATCAATGAGTAAGCAATCAATAAATATTTTTGGATGAACTAATTTGTTTTATTTAATTCTCCTGACAACACTGAACTCATAGTTTTATTTCTGTTTTAAAAATGAGGAAGCTGACTGTTAAAGTCAGATAGCAAGAAAGTGACAGAGCAAAGATTAGAATCTCAAGTATTTGTCCAAGAAGTAGTTTGGTTCGATGCCCTGACATGCACTTATATGAATTTGGAGTGGCAGAAGAGAATGTGTTTCCTTTAATATAATGGTTATTATTTTATATGGACATTCCAAGGACACTAAATTTCCCAGTTTCTATCTTTTTTAAATGGTGTATCTTATAGAGGAAACAAAAATCAGTATCATTTATCTTGGCACTATGGATTTCTGTACTTAATTATACATATATGTGATAAAATTTAGCTGATCTGAGGAACATTCTCAAACCTGAATCATCAAAATACAGGACACATTCGCACTTGACACCTAAAAAGTTTGGATGCTTGCTTTTTTCAGTTTAACACATCCTAGTAGATATAAATTGGTTTAAAACGCAGTTCAGAACTTTGTTTTATTTCTTCCAATATTGTTAAATTTTAAAATAGAATTTTCCTTAAAAGTTCAAAAATGTCCTTGCTAGGAACAATGTCGTAAAATAAAAACTTTGGAAACTGCATGCTTACTTCTGTATTTATAATAGTGAAATCCCAATATATGCCATACACTAGCACAGCTACCATCACAACTATAACAGCAAATATATTATTTCTTTGGAAAAATTGGGTTTATTTGTTCAAAGACAAGACCACAGTAATCACATAGTCATCAGGATAAAGGTTGGTGATCTGAAACCTTAATCTTTGGTCTATTGTAATACTCAATTGTGTTAGGAACAATAATGGCTCACTAAAGATGTCTATGCCCTAATACCTAGAACTTATGAATACATTTGGTCATGTGACAAAGGAAAATCAAGGTTTCAGATGAAATTAAAGTTTCTAATCAAGTGACCTCGAGGGAAGGAGATTATTTTAAATTAGCTGAATAATCCTAAAATTATCACAGAGTTTCTTATAAGTAGATGTGGGAAGCAGAAGTCACTGTCAGATTAATACTATTGGCTATTTTTGGTTTTGAAGATGGCAAATAGCAAAGACAAAAACTGTGTGCAGCTTCTAGAAGTTGGAAAAATTAACAGAAAAGATTCTCCTGTGAATCTTCCTGAAAGAATGTAGGTCTGCCAATACCTTGAATTTAGCTGGTGAGACCCATTTCAGATGTCTGACCTCTAGAATTGTAAGATACTTAATTTGTAGCATTTTAAGCCATTAAGTTTGTGAATATTTTATTATAACAGCAATAGGAGACTAATACAATTATCTAAAGTATAACTTGAAATGGCACTCAGAATGGTTGTTGTTATTGTCATTTTGATATAAAGAACTTTGAATTTTAAGTAATATTTTAGAGGAGAAGAACAAAGAATGTATGTATCTAGAATTAAGTCTGTAACTCTGTCTCAGGAAGATGCACTACCACAGTAGTGAAAACCCCATGTCTGCTGTCTGAAGACATCTATACCTCTGCCCATAGTTGTCACCATGGGATAAAGACTTCTCTTCTGGGTTCTGTATCAAACACAATCTTCTCTGACAGGAACTCTTTGGCAATAAATTCTTGGAAATATTTACTGTCTTAATGCCCCTGTGATGAGAGATTAGACAGACAAATATATTATTAAATATCAACAAGCATTATGGGAATAGTAACCATTTGACTTAAGGTACCTCATGTAATTATTTTCAGCTGTAATAAGGTGATAATACTAGCATTTACTTAGAATGTTTATATGAATTAAAAGTAGTTTTCCTTGGAAATAATTTAAAAAAAGGCTAACACATAGAGAAAGCTTAATACAGATTAACTATTTTTGTTTTAATTTCAGAAGATAATGTTAAAAATACATGCAAAAGTTAGGTGAACGTTGATTTGAAGTCTGATTATTAGATCACTTATTATTTGAATGCATTTGCCAAATTACTTAATCTTCTAACTCTTACCTTTCACTACCATATAATGTAGACACACTCACCTATTAGCTAACATATAGTAACATACAAATGATCATTAATTTTTAGTCACTGTTAGTATTAGTGATTATTATCACAGATAATAAATATAAATTGGGTAAATATTTTTGATTAGATAAATTAATTTATTAGCTATCAGCAGATCAGAGCTGAATATAAATCATATGACATGTGAAACAAGGTCTGTGAGTCTAGCTTTATCTTAAGAAGTGATGTTAAAAGAAATAATTCATGGAAGGCATTTTCTTCCTATGCCCATCATTGTCAAAAAGTACTGTATATTAAATGAAATTGAGTTGAAACCTGGGCTTCCTACTGTATTTAGAGCATGATAAAAGCACACGGTAAAAATCATCTTCAGAATGCCTAGTATAATATTTTTAAAGTTTGAGAAAGATTTTTTTGTTATTTTTAACTACATATATGATTTAAGCAAATTATAGTACATTGCCATTTTTAAATCAAACAAAAATTATGAGGAAAAATTTTAAAGCATCCCAAATTATATCTCCCAGAAATGACTGTATTTTACATTTGATTACTATCATTCTAGAGATCTCAATATTTATATTTATAGAGAAACACCAAAAACTGTTTTTGATAAAGTATTTAATTTTCAGTTTTAGTGTCAGAGCAAAAACTATCCGATAGCTTCTATATCCGTCTCTCTGTTCTTCTTATATATTTTATAAATAATATTATCTTAGAAACATATATAGACTTATAATTATAGAAGTTACCAAACTGCAATTCTATTTGAAATTTTGTAATAATCTGCTTAGACTTTATTTTTAGAGGGGGGTTTATTTATTTCTTATCTTTGGTAGGAACTGAAAATTTATAAGTGTGTAAATTAAAAATTTAGGTGACATCCTTCAGACCCACATTAAGGTTCTTGAGAGAACAGACAGATTCGGAGAACAGGCATGTTGCACTGAACTTCTGATGCTGCGTAGCAAGCTAGGATTATAGCCCAAATAAATGCCTCCCTTCCACATGTAGGACTTCTAGCATGTGTATGATTAAAATTTGTGCCACTGCAAAGTTGAAAATTATAATGTCATAGACCTTCCTAGTCATTCATGAATTGTCCAAACCAAGAATGCAAATGAAAGGTTTTATGACATTTATTTCAGATATTTATATTTGCACTTCTGGCTTGAATATCAAGGAGTTGCTTTGAATTATTTAAAGAAGGCTATAACTCTTACTTTTTAGGCTGCTTGAGAAAGATAAAGCCCTCTTGGTGATTTGATAAAAATCGTTCTGAGCTTGCAAGACTGCTAGGCTGCTTCTGATTCTGGCAGCTCGGATAGTTCGACAAAGCAGCACTAACTTGTGGCTACACATACTGATTTCTCTGTATCACCATAAGCACATTTCTTTTTACTAGAGATCTCAAAAATGTGCATTTAAATTTTAGCACTGTAAACTATCAAATGAATTCATCATTGTGCTTGAGAGTAAAGTCTGCTAGCTCTGAGATTAATAATGTCTGTATATTTTGAATTTTTCCTATTTTGACATAGGTGTTTACATCTTACTTTATAGAAATAAGAGTTTCAGTAACATTCGCAGAGCTAAAATGATCAGTTGCCAGGAGCAGGGCATCAAAAGAATCAACAGTGATGAAGTCCATCTTCAGTCTGGAAAAGAGCTGGCTCAGCTGATGCTCTTGTGAATTTCTTACATGGTTTAAATAACTTAGAATATGATGATACCATTAACTGAGCTATTAAGTTGATGATATGGGCAAACTTGGGGAAATTTCAGTATATAGAGGAGTTGCTGGACAGATATGTCAACAGGCATGAGCTACAATTAGCAAATATTTTCTATCTTTCCTTTTTTTTGAGACAGAGTCTCACTCTGTTGCCCGGGCTAGAGTGCCGTAGCGTCAGCCTAGCTCACAGCAACCTCAA